AACCACATTCTTCGATTAATTTTAAATAGAGTTTACTTTAGTTGAGTTTTAATTTAAGGCTTAATTGCAAAGATATATGATGACAAAAATCGGGAACATGCAAAAAATGATGGCCTTCATCGACATTTTCGCTGAGGAAAAATCGTCTTCAAATGACCCCAGAAATATGTCTTTGAAAGATTAATTATGAGTTTTGGGACCCTGTATAATGAAGGTTTCTTTAATTTCTTAAAAGATTTCTTTCTTTCACTTGATATATAATTTTTCGTATAGGAATCATTTTTTCACTAATTAAACCAAAATTTTATAATATATACAAAAAAAATCTTTTTTTCATAAATATTTGAAATATTTGAAATAGTGTTATATTTTTATAACACTTTTATGTCGTATATAAAGGATTAGTGAAATTAATAAACCAACGCGGGAATGTGTATTCCTTAAAGATTGATTGGATTTAAGAAAATTATTATTGCAATCTTGAATTTATTATCTCTACTTATCTTAATATATTAGGAAGAGAGAGAGAGAGACAGGAATAAAAAGATAAAGATAAATTAATAAATATTAGTTTGAACAAGAGCACGAGATATTTTTATTTTTAATAGAGTAATGATTAATTTTGTCAAAGTGATAAAAAGGTATTAAATGCATTAAGTTCGGCACCAGCAACATATCGGTTAATTCCATGAACTCGAGTTCGCATCTCAGGCAGGATTTCTTGACTTTGAATTTCACGCGAAGCTGCCGGCTTAAAGCACCTCGGCATACCACCCAGCCGTCTTCGATCCTGCATCTCCCTTCGACTTCGCCCTCCTACATAAACACTCGGAGAGAATCGCGGGGTAGAACGTTGGAATGACGATCTTTCAAGGGAAACAAGGTACTTCGACGTTGTGGATCGGAAGCTGCCGACGTAAGATCAACAGAACTTAATGAAACATTAATCGAAAACGCAAAGATTAGACGCCTGGAAATCTTCCTGCAAGTGTCAGAATCATTCTAGCAGCGAGATGTTGAAATCTCGAGATTTAACGTGTCAATATAAATATGGTAAAAATTAGTCGGGATTTATTGAATTTAATGAGTCGAATTGAACGTCATCAATTACGTATGTTACTGGATACAGCTTCGCTTTATCTGTTTTCGATTTCAATTAACATATCAGTAAAATAGGGAATAATTAATAAAAGGATTCGTCATGTACGAAAAGGTTCAATCTTTTATAACTCAATTGAAACAATAAATTTCGATTCGCGCAATGGTATAAATTTCTATCGTAAGATATAAATCTGAATCACGCGCTGTATCTCTGTTTTCGCCCGTAAAATATGCAACTATTTCGTGAAGTCACCTTTGGACCAGATCCGAGTAAATATTGTATCGGATTGGCATTGTGGCAAGAGTATTGCGGTCTCTCGCGGGCAACTTTGTTCGACGTTCGAGTTTCCGGCTTGAGCCATGACTCTTGGTGCAACCGCACGATCTCGTCTGTGGTCGCGAGTGGGAACTAAATTAATGGATTGGAGCGCGATACATTTTCTTGTAAAGGACAGGAAAGGGTGGACTATTGATCTTAAGAAAATACGTCCGATTCGGGAATTGCGATCCTACGAAATTGCATATTTGTCACCAGCATTTCTTTACATCTGTAGATTTATTTGACCGACTTAATCAAGTAACTCTTTCTTTTTCTGTCTCTTTTTATAAATCACACGATTAACTCTCTATTGAATTCATTGAAAATTCCTTCAAAAATTTATATTATAATCATCATAAATTCTAAGACACGATACATAAATCTATAACAATCATTATATTATTGTATTATGTACATACTGTATACGTTGAAATTTTTAAGTATTGTATATCTCGAAAAATGTGTGCGTAATTATTTTCAATGCGCTAATCGGAATTTTTCTCGTTTTTCGCGAGGAGTAGTTTTGCAACATCGCGTTAAATAGATAGGGTGACGTTTTCACGTGCGTGAGAAGTGAGCATTCTCGTCGGACTTAAAAAGGGCGTTGTCAACCGTGGAATAATTCGACGATCTCGACACGGCGCACGATAATCCGCCGTGTCATGCGGCACAGGGCGCATAGAAAGGTGAAAGTACCGGGGTGGGACGACGCGAATCGGTGCAAAGGGTTGAGGCGGAGCAAGCACAATATATACAGCGAGGATTATAATAAGCCGAGCCGCGCGCGCCGAAATTTATTTCGTTCTCCATTAATAACGGCACTCCGGACACCCAAAAGGGCCAACGTACCCGGCACCCTTTCGCCACGCGACGCTCATTATTACTATCAAAGGGTGGCTCCCTATTCTCCCAGTCCACCCGTTCACTATTAAGATTTCAAATATCGTTTTAAATATTATTTTGTCTCGATATTACACAAATAGACATGACTTTTGTTGTTTTAATCCTAGAAAAACAATGCAAAGTATAGGGACAGAAGTTTGAAGATTCTTATTTATTATTAATAATTTGTTCAATGATTGGTTTCGTTTTGAAATATAATTCGAGAAATAAATGAATGAATAAATAAATAAATAAAAATAAATATATAAAACTTTTTTATTAATTTCTCGAAATATTTAAATTTTTTTATAAAATATATATAATTATATAATTAATATTATGACTAATGTATACAATATTATATTATTTTGGGATCACTCTTATATTTTATATATAAAAGATCTTTTGTAAAGTTCTATATCTTATTAAAAAAAATTTTATTCTTTTTTAAGGGAAATCAAATTTAATACATTTTGATGATGTATAATACAATTTTTTAAATCGGTACGAATTCGGAGGCTTCTGCGGCTGTCATACATAGTCAATCTCTCAACAGTGTCGTTACTTCGCTCGTTAATAATCCGGTTCAACGATTAATTTTGAGTGTGTGTTCTCCGAAAGCGATCTTGTTAGCCGATCGTTTCCACAATCGGCGTATCGCGGTCACCACCGCTCGTTAGAAGCGCTTTTGCTTCTCGAGTAACGTCCTATCGTCTAATTAGTGTACCTATTCGATCGCGAGGGACCTGTACTCGTATTTTGCGATCGATACCCGTGATATTCCGTTCCGAGATAATTCACTTTCCGACGATGATTGCGCCGAGTATTCGTTGTTCGTGCAAGTGATTTCGCGTCTCGCATCCCTTATCTATGCAACGCGACTACTACGTATTATGTTTTCGAGAGGGGGAGGAGGGAACGCATTAGACGGCAGGACAATAGAGAAACGTCGAGAGTCGAGTTGTTGAACTGTAATGTCGATCTTGTGCGAGAGGCGTTGATTGCGATTACTCTCGCGGGTAATTACGGAGCATAAGCACGTTCTCGCGAGATACGAATGTTCCTTTATCGTTGCTCTGTTACGGTTAATCTGTACGTCGCGTGTCTCCGACGAGTGATAATAACTCCATTGCCAGCGACTAACTTAAGTCTTAACCAATACGTCTTGCTTTATTTGGAAGTACATAGGTTTATTAGTGGACTCACTCTCTTATCAGCTGATTAGATAGGTATCTCAATTATTGTGCTGACCTTTACATCAGGTGTTGACTTTTCGAGGAACAGGCGACAATATTTCAAAATCGTTTCTATTTTAGTAATAAAATACATAAATATGTTAATTTTATTATTGATTAAAAAATCGTAGAGAGAAAGATGAACTCAAAGCATCGAATAATTGCGACACTGAGAAAAAAATCTGGTTGCATTAATTAGAATTCTGGTAGATTTAACCAGTATGTCTGTTGGAAAATGGACGAACCAGAATTCTTGTAGGAATTACTTGACGAATCTGATTAATTTCTTCCTGTTAAATTTACCAAATTTTCTGGTTAATAATAAACTCGCCAGCACCAAGTCGTCTAAAATTTTTTCCATCTAATCTCAAAAGACTGTTTAATATTCTGAATTCCAACAAGATAAATTCAATTCAGATTATTGAATAAATTATTTTAAATTCAGTTTGTTAGAAATTCAACTGATAAACAGTGATGCAAGAAGAGGATGCAGCTCAAACACACACACAATCAGAGAACTAGCGTCCTCTTTCTGGCACTACTGCTCGTAAGAAAAAAAAATACTTTGGATTTAACGTTAATACTAGTTCTTTATATATATTTCATGGCAAATATTGAATACGAGTTAAGTTAAGAAGCAAGCAAAGAAGTTAATGCAACAAGAAATTTTATAGATTCAAGCAGAAAATACTAACCAAGTCCTTATAGTAAAATCTATTAAATGTTCTAGTTATAAAAAATCAAGTCTTATCATGATAACTAGAAATTCTTGTTTGATTTAACCAAAATGCCTTCAATCATATACGTCTTGTTGGTACAATCAAACGATTTTTCTCAGTGTATTTTAGTAATAAAATACGTATGTAAATTGTACGCATTGTCATTGACATGATTAAAAGATCATAGAGGGAAAGATGAACTCAAAGCATCGGACAATTGCGATAAATTAATAACATATAACATCGTCCGATTTTCCGATTTTTAATGAAAAATTTAAAGCAAAGATTTTTTTTATTTTGAGACTTATGTTAGAGCGACTTATTCAGCAAGCGAGTAACTTAGTCAATTATGATTGTATTATAATTTTTCAAGTAACTCTCAATGAAACTAGTTCATTCGGTTGCTTACGCCTTGTTAGCATCGAATAGGGAGTAGCATTATGAAGAAGAACGCCTCAGTGGAATAAAGTGTTCGCAGTCATTCAAAATGCATTCATTCGATTTTAATCCTTAAGTAGTCGAATGGACAAAACTATGTTGTATCGACATATAAAAGAGAGTTGAATGTGAATGAGAATTAAAAGAGTATAAATTAAAGGGAAAAATAAGCAAGCTTTACTACTTGAAGTTAAATTAATTTCTTTACATACATACATACATATATATATACATATATTTACATATATACAGTCTTGTATAAATATTTACAAAATATTAATTGGGATGTCATTTTCTTTGTTTCAGTGTAAAGCCGGTCGCGAAAGGAAGTTACGTCCAATCGATCGAATTCACGGTGCAAATTGGTGCGTTGGGAAACAGGTATTTATAATAATAGAGTGTAATAGTAAACGTGCAATTTGCATGCTACACGTTATGAGCAGCGAGAGAATGCGGGGCATAATGTATAAACTTTAATTACGTCGCTTCAACTCGAAATTAGAATTGTACTTAAGTTTTAATTGGATCGATTGTCATTGTTACAGTAAGGCAAACTTGTGCATCATGATTGGCTTTTCAATTTTAGAGTACTCCAATTGCGTTTATGTTTCACTGAAACTATTATGCAGTTAGTGAAGAGAGTTCATAATAAACGTAATAAAGTTATGCAAAATGCACCCTGGCTCGCCTTAAAACACATCTGGCGATATTATCACGCCGATGAAACCGACATATAAAAATCATAGTCTACCTCGCAAAATGCGAATAGCATCATCTCGTTTTTGAAGGTATTATTTGTTACATTTTTCACGCGCGCTGACATCGCAAACTCTATTTTGCGGTTTCCGTCCGAGAAGAAAGACGCAAGACGTTCTCAGAGACCTGTTTTCAGTTTCCGATCTGAAAATGGAGATCTATTTTAAAGTCACCCTGCTTTCCATTTGTGCGAGAATAAAAAAAACGCGAAGTAGAACGCGTTTTCACTTGTATCTAGCAATAAACGGAGTACGCATAAAACTAAAAATATCTATATTCACATATCTTTGAACAAATTCTTTTTTACATTTTCCACACATGTATTCACGCACACACATGAAGGATGTGGATTCCATTCCCGAATGTGTATCGATTTTCCGTTTACGCGCGAGAAAGGAATGCACGGGAACGCATTTTGACTCTTTTAGATGCACTACAATAAAACTACACAAGTAGCACCGTTGCCTCTTCATTTTCAATCAACCGAGAGGAGGATCAATTTATATTATTCGTTCGCATTCTCATCAGCGATTAAAATTTCGTCTTTAAAAAAAAAATATAATAAAAAATGCGAAATGCGAGATAAATTGCCATCGACGCGCCAGACGTTATCCTTTGTCGAAATTAGGACCGCACTTTTGATCGACGCGATCGGGGAGGGAAAAGTTGCCGGCTGTAAGATACACCGGGTCGTCTTATTCTTATTGCGCACGATGGTGGTTCCTCGCTCGCCGACTGTCACGAACCGACAGATGCATACTTGCCGTGGATATTGTCTCGTGCCTGAGGCAGCTGGCCGAGAATATTGAAATATTAATAGAATATCGATGAGAGGCGCGGAAGCTGCATGTCGGAACGAGAACCGGCGAAATTCGGTTACGGCGGCTCGCCGCGGGCCGGTCCGAAAAATTTTTCGGCCGCGACGATTATACCGGCCGTTTCCGTATTACGGCCCGTAATCGGATTTTTTTACACAGACGCACACTTGTTGCGAGAACATTGTTCGCGGCATTAGACTACGCGGAACATCGACGCGAATGAAAGGGGCGAAATGCAAATCGGGTCGTCGCTCGCGGCGGCACGATTAGCGGCGCACGAATATCGATCGAATGCGAGCAGGTTTCAATTATTAAACATGCGTTTAGCACGTCCGCCTGAGTGGCCGAGTATGTTTTATCGCGAGGAAACTTTTCGAGTGGTTTGTTTCGGGGGATATTTTCGAGAGGAGACAGGGAATACAGAATGAGTTCTGTGTTCACGTGATATGAAGCGTGTCCAGGGTTAGAAAGGAGGATAATTTGTAAGGTTTATTTCAAAAAATGAAATAATAAAAGAATCTTTTAAAAAATGATTTATATTTTATACATAGTGGCTCACGTTACAAATTTATATTGCGGAAACGAAGCAGTTTAGGGAAAAATGTTTCAAGCAAAAGTTGTGTGGTTTCAAGGGGGACATAAGGTGGTGCTATTAGTTTGACCTTAAAGAGTCACCTGAAAGTCACGTGAAGGCCTCCTCCAACTTTTTAAATGGGACACCCTATGTGCTTTTACATATTCTTGTAGCTCATCTCGAGAGCTTTCCAAAACACTATAATAAATTTTTCATTGAGTACTTCTCGAATTATGAGGCTTAAAATATCTTAATTTTACATAAACCGTAAAATATTCATTTTTCGATTATCTTACCTTAACACTTTTGTGTACAAAATAATGAGAGGAATCAATTGGTGTAAAGAAAATATAATTGTTTCGAAAAAAAATGTAATTTGCAATTAACAATTACATTTTTTCTTTTGAAACAATTGTGTGTTTTCTTTACACCAATTGATTTCTCTCATTATTTTGTACATAAAAGTATTAAGATAAGATAATCGAAAAATGAATATTTTACAAGATATTTTATTTATGTAAAATTAAGAAATGATTTCAAGCCTCATAACTCGGAAAGTACTTAATGTAAACTAATTTAATTATAGTGTTTTGGGAAACTCTCGAGATGAGCTACAAGAATATGCAAAAACATGTAGGGTATCCCATTTAAAAAGTTGAAGGAAACCTTCACATGATCTTCAGGTAACTCTTCAAAGTCAAACTAGTGGCACCATCTTATGTCCCCCTTGAAATCATATAACTTTTGTCTGAAACATTTTTCTCTAAATTACTTCGTTTCCGAGATATAAATTTGTAACACTTTACGTGGGCCACCCTGTGTAGTATAATAATTAATAATAAAATAGTTAGGACAATTAATAATAACTAAAATATTGAAAAAAATAGATGATCACGACGCGAGTAGGATTCCTTGCATCTCATTTTAATATTAAATATTATCACGAATATCTTGATAGGCTACTGTTTCGGACATCATGTACGCTTGCTGATCGTAAATCTGAACAATGCGCAGATGGTCTGATTTCGTCGATGGATAATCTTGTTGATTTCACAAGATACAGCGTAATCGCACCGTGCACATTGCGGACGAGAGGCTTCTATTAGATTCGGCTTTATCCTTTGTTGCTCTCGACTTGCGCGCGTATCCTCGGGACAAAGAACCAACTGTTACCGCTTTTTAAGGGTTCCTTAAAAAATTCTAGACTCATTTCGTTAACGATGACAATTTTATTTGCTTTTACTTCTTAGATACTATTAAAGCGTGAATTAAAATTCATATGGACAAAGAAAAACGAGAGTCCAATGTCAACGTCTAATGTTTCGACATAAATTACAATAATATCTGCAGAACCCATAAAGAAGAAAAGAATATTAATATTCCATATTCCCGCGCGCGTAGAAGCGAATGTTAACGAGCTTGATGAAATGTGAAAACACGAATGTGTATGGTTAATCATAGAGTGTAAGCGTAGGGTGTTTTTCATGATAATACGACTGTTAAAGTAATCGACCGTACTCCGCAATTTCTGGGAACAATCGCGACGCAGCGGTCGCCCAAGTCTCTTGCACGACGGCGTCTTCCGCAAACGCGTAAACGTCCCGCTTCTCCCTCGCCTCCCCCGATGCATCCCCTCTTGAGGGATCTCGATGGAGAATCCTCCCTCCTCGCCGTTGACTCGTGGCGAAACTCGCTCGGCATTCGGCGTCAGCGTCTTGAATGGTGACAAACGGCATGCACCGCGAAACACACAATCGCGCCGTGGTGGCTGCGACTGCAGGTACGATTGGGGAGGATGGATGGCGAAGGAGAGGGGGAGGGGGAGGAAAGAGGGTGCGGAGGCTGACTGCAGCGCGCGAGCAATGCGGCTGTGCACCCCCCCGATAGCGACGTACAGTTGACAGAAGCGCTTGCGGAGGCGAGAGAGATCGTTCGCCTCTCTATCTTCATCCCTTCCTCCTCTTACCTTCGCATCCGCTCCGTTTCCACGCTCGTGCGTGCGTGCTTGCGCGCATTCAAGCATACGCTCTACGGGATGGGTGGCGTACACGCGGGTCGATTGCGTGCGAACGCCCGTATGCGTAAATTGAGGGAGTAAACATGTGTGCGCGAGGCGCGTCAAATTCATATAAGAAAATTACATTGAGATAATTAAATGAAATACACGCGAAATGAAAAGAGCAGGGACTTATCTCGATCTCGTCTCTTTTATTCCTTGTCTCGCACTGAGAAAAAAATCTGGTTGCATTAATTAGAATTCTGGTAGATTCGACCAGTATGTCTGTTGGAAAATGGAACCAGAATTCTTGTAGGAATTATCAGACGAATCTGATTAATTTCTTCTCGTTAAATTTACCAAATTTTCTAGTTAATAATAAACTCGCCAGCACCAAGTCGTATAACATTTTTTCCATCTAATCTCGAAAGTCTGTTTAATATTCTGAATTCCAACAAGATTATTGGATAAATTCAATCCAGATTATTGAATAAATTATTTTAAATTCAGTTTGTTAGAAATTAAACTGATAAACAGTGATGCAAGAAGAGGATGCAGCTCAAACACACACAATCAGAGAGCTAGCGTCCTCTTTCTGGCACTACTGCTCGTAAGAAAAAAAAAATACTTTGGATTTAATGTTAATACTAGTTCTTTATATATATTTCATGAAACACTGAGAAAAAATCTGGTTGCATTAATTAGAATTCTGGTAGATTCATTCAGTATGTCTGTTGGAAAATGGACGAACCAGAATTCTTGTAGGAATTATCAGATGAATCTGATTAATTTCTTCCCGTTAAATTTACCAAATTTTCTGGTTAATAATAAACTGGCCAGCACCAAGTCGTCTAACATTTTTTCCATCTAATCTCAAAAGTCTGTTTAATATTCTGAATTCCAACAAGATTATTGGATAAATTCAATCCAGATTATTGAATGAATTATTTGAAATTCAGTTTGTTAGAAATTAAACTGATAAACAGTGATGCAAGAAGAGGATGCAGCTCAAACACATAATCAGAGAGCTAGCATCCTCTTTCTGGCACTACTGCTCGTAAGAAAGAAATATACTTTGGATTTAACGTTAATACTAGTTCTTTATATACATTTCATGGCAAATATTGAATACGAGTTAAGTTAAGAAGCAAGCAAAGAAGTTAATGCAACAAGAAATTTTATAGATTCAACCAGAAAATACTAACCAAATTCTCATAGTAAAATCTATTAAACGTTC